GGTTGCCTCATAAATCAGGTGATTTCAGAAACAAGGAAAGAGGTTGTGACGAAACAAATTTTGAGGAGCTTACTAAGGTTAACATAAACAGAAAATGTTGAACTCTAGGATTCAATGATAATAATATTGTCCTTTAAATAAGCTAGTTTTTTAATGTCTGTGTTTCTTAAATTTCATCTTATTATTATCTTATAAATAAAATGCATATAGTTTTCATTTATTATATTATCTTGTTATTAAATTGTCGCGACATTTAACCAGCTCGACTAGCTGGTGATCTCGGATTTTCATGAAACTATTCATTGCGCTTTTCTTCGCCTTAAATGATGCCTGTAGAAAGTAACAACAGCGAAATTTCTCGTATCTTCCTTAAAGTACCACATTTTTGGAAGCAAAATCCATTGGTTTGGTTTCGTTAAATCGTTTTGTTTTACAGTTATTAAATATTTTCGCTGCATCTTAGGAGTGATTTTATGACTTTCATCGATAACAAATCACTAGTTCATGCTTTTACTGAACAATTAAATACGCTATCTCCAAGACAAATAAATCAACTAAATTTTATAGCCTAATTTTCAACTAACATACACCACATCAGTTGCTCAGAAAATATTGAGGCTGATGCACTTTCTCGTATTCAGAATCTTTATGCACCAAATGATTTAAATTGTTTCGAAATATCTAATAATCAAACAAATTGCCCTAAATTTAAAGAATTATTGGAATTTAGTATCAGCTTAAAACTTCAAAAACTTCAAGTTCCTGGATAAACAATTTATCTTTATTGTGACATATTAACGAATCATATTCGCTTTTACGTACCGAAAAAGTCATAGACATAGTTCGACCACTACATGAATTTAATGTTCTTAGCGAACGTTTTAATCATATAAACATCAATTTGATAGGCTCTATGCCGCCATCGAGTAGCTATACACGCTGTCTAACCTACATAGACCACTTTTCTCAGTAGCCGGAAGCTATTCCAATAGTTTGCATGAAAACGGAAATACACTTTATAACAAAAAAATCGGCGCACCAAGAAGGAGTTGTCCGATTGAAACGAAAATTGGTGGATAGGAAGACAATGTACAGAATAGTAAATGATTAAAATTTCAGAATAATTGAATAATATATTGCAGAGTTACGGTAACAAGTTCAATAAGGTGTTGACCCGCCTCTAGCCTGGATACAAGCTGCCACACGGCGTGGCATAGACCGATAAAGCTCCCGGATGTTCTCTTGCGGTATTTCCTGCCAAATTCGATCCAATTGTCGAACAAGATCATCAACATTCCGTGCCAGATGCAATCGCCTTCCCATCATATCCCAGACATGCTCGATGGGAGAGAGATCTGGTTATCTGGCAGGCCAAGGAAGACTTTGACAAGCTTGCAGACAGTTCATAGCAACACATACCGTATGTGGTCTGGCATTGTCCTGCTTAAAACCAGCCCAGGGCGCTGCAAAAGGAACGGTAGCAAAACAGGTCTTAGGATGTCGTCGACGTACCGCTGTGCAGTAAGTGTACCTCTAATGACGACCAAAGGGGTCCGGCTGTCAAAGGAAATGGCATCCTAGACCATAATGTTTTGTTGAGGCCCGGTGTGGCGTGCAATAGTGAAGCCAGGATCTCCCCCCCCCTCTGCCCTGTGCGTCTCCAAACACGTCTTCGATGATCGTCAGGACACAGTTGGAAGCGGGATTCGTCGCTAAAGACTATACGACCCCAGTCGGCATCATTCCAGCCTGATCGAGCCATGCACCACTGTAATCTGGCACCAAGAAGCAATCGCATGATTGCTTCTGGTGCGTCGGTTTTTTTGTTATCGAGTGTAATTGCCCAAGCTTTATATAGTTGTTAAATGTCCAGGAGTACCTAAAACAGTCACTTGATCATAAGAGCCGATTCCAAACTCTTTATCAAAAATGTTTGGAATTCAAGCATCACGAACAATTACCTATCAACCACAGGCTAATGGAGAGGCAGAACTGTGACATCTCACTTAAAGCAAAATTCACTTTTAATTATAGTAATTATATCTTTCAAAATCTTACTTTTTAATGTCTGTGTCTCTAAAATATCATCTAATTAGTATCTTTGTAAATAAAATGTACAAAATTTTAATTCATTCTATTATCTTATTATTCAATTGATGAAACACGTTAATCAGCGCGACAAGGTTCAACCGGTTTTATTACGTAACAAGCTCCGCTTTGTGCACGTTTGAGAAAGTAAAATCTCTTCACTAGCTCCTAGTCCTAGTCCTGTCGGTTGGTCGGGGTGCCTGATTCTGGAGTGGCCCTTTACCTCTTCATCATGGAGTGTAGGATCCTTGAGGTGTAATCTTGTGGTTCTTGTATTCTAAAAATGTAAGTAGAGAATTAATTATGAGCATATTGCTCATGTAATCATCAATATAATGGATTGATAAAATTTTAACATGTATATAAAATAAATAAATAAAATACTAGAGAAAAAGAATGTTAAAAATATACTTCAAGTAAGAAATTAGTCAAATTAATTGTACATCTCAGGTACAATTCACTTCCTCCAGAGCCGGATTATACCTTTCGTAGGCCCTAGTCCAGGGCCCGATTAACCTCTGAAAATAGGGGAAGCATAATTGGATTTTGCCCCCCCCCCAGCTTGAGCAAAAGAAACTTTTGATATTTTTCGCCCATAAGCAATACATTTTAAAGAGACAAGAACCATGTGAAAACTATAAGAAACTTGGAAAGGAATACAGAGATCTTATGCAATCATGTTGGGCCCTTCTTTACGTGCTTTATAGTAACAAAAACATGAGGGAGTAGCTAGCACATATGTTAAAAAAATTTAAATATTTCACTAAATTAAATTATAAAATTTCTTGTTGTTATACGAAAGGTTCTTTGCAAGATTAGTCTCTTTTTTTAACGCCAATTTTTTTCTTACTTCCTTAATTATTATTTTCTGCTTTTGCAAAAAATAAGAAATTGGGCCCTTAATTTCAGTCATTTGGGGGCCCCCCTAGAATTTTACAGGGAAAGCACTTGCTTCCTGTGCCTTTTCGGTAATCAGGCCCTGCCCTAGTCATAGTCGTTTTTGGGCCCTCCCCTCCTTCCCCCACTCCTCCCCTCTTTTTAAAATATATGCTAAAATTTTCTTGCATATTTTTTTTACATTTTTATTAATATGGATTTTAATTTACAAATTTGTTTATCGAACTTTATCTGCAATACCAACATACTGCCGGTATTGCGGTTGGTATCGATTTGGAATTCGACTGCATAATACAAGATTTCGTTGAATCCAAAAATCGCAAAAAAGCAATATATTAGATCACAAGATTCTGCAAAATAATTTATTACCGAAAAATATTATACTTTTATTTGTATCTTCATAATTTTGTGCAAAATACACTTGTTGTTTTTAAAGCTAAATTATTTTCGTCAACAAATTTTTTTCTCCCAAGTTTTTCGTAGGCCCCTGAATTTCGTAGGCCCTAGGCACGTGCCTAGTGTGCCTATAGGTTAATCCGGCCCTG